TCCCACGCCTCGCTCAGCCAGTGAGCGGGAGCCGGTCTGTATGTGGGATCCGAACCCTCGAGCGGGAGCGCTGCCGCGCCTCCTAAGCAGCGCACTATCCAGTGCGCCACTGGGCCGGCCCTCCATACTTTTTTGATCATTCTCATTAGTTAAAAAAAAATTTAGTACTCCCCTGTATTTGTGTTTGTTACTTATTTATAAATTATATACATGTGCTATTATGGTTTTATTGTATTTCAAGGCCCAATCTATCCACAATCTATCTAGATTCATTGTTAATGGCAGTGGAGGTAAAACCCTGTTTCAAATAGTTTTTCTCTTAATTTTGAGTATTTTTGGCCTATTTCTAATCAGATCTGGTTATATCATCGTAGTTTTTTTTATTTCGTCATGTGGCTCATTCAAAGCTGGCTCAGTATGAAGCATGTGCTTTGCCAGCTGTGGTCTTGTGTTTGCCTGTGCTTGCATTTGTTAGTATAACTTTAATTTATGCTTTTTATAGGGACTTTAAAGCTTCCTGTCCTTTATAAGGTTTAGTTTAGTTTTAATCCATCATTCTACCCCGCTGTGCACATGCCAACAAGATAGCTGCATTGTGCTGAAGGTGGAGTGGGGGTGGGTAACCCTGTCCAACCTCTGCCCCCCACTGCACCCCAGGCACTTCAGAATGGTTTGTGACCAGTGATCCTCTGACAGAGGGACATAGTGAGGATGCAGTGTCAGTTTCCACTTATATTAGTACTACTAGTATTTTATGATAGTGTACTATAATTAGTATGATGTAATATAGCATAAAATAATTCATAGTGAAACATAGTTTATTTTCTCTTTTTTGGGATAAAAATAAGTGTAACTTCTAGGATTTTCTTCCCCAGCACCGTGGAGCATCTCATACACCCTCCGGGATGCATGAGCACTCTAATAGAGAGGTGGTCTCTTACTTCAGCCTCAAATAGTTCTTTCATCCTTCNATGAGCACTCTAATAGAGAGGTGGTCTCTTACTTCAGCCTCAAATAGTTCTTTCATCCTTCGAAGAACTCCATGAGGGCAGGTATAATTGATCTCCCCCTTTCTTTCAAATGACTAAACAGGGTCTAAAAATAGTCAAGTAATGCTACAACAGTCCTTGTAGTTAAGTGTTTACTTGATGGTACATGCTTTTCTTGATGTTCTCATTTAATTTTCACATTAGCAAGACAAACACCCAAAAGGTATGGAGAAGGTGAATGTGGCCCAACATCATCCTGTTAGCAATGGGTCC